TTTCAATTCATCAATTAATTTCAATTCATCAATTAATTTCAATTCATCAATTAATTTCAATTCATCAATTAATTTCAATTCATCAATTAATTTCATTTCATTAATTGAAGGGTATATATTTATCACCAGAATTAAAAGCATCATTATATGAACGTTTTATGTTTTCTTGGGTTAATCCATTAATTAGCAAAGGATTTCGAAAAACATTAGAGAAAGATGACGTTTTCGAATTACCATATTTTCTTAAAGCAAAATATGTAGTTAATTCGTTTCATAAAACCCAACGACCATCATATTCATTTCTTAAATCATTATTCTTAGTGTTACGTAAAGATATCATTATTCAATTTTTCTATTCAATAGCATGGTCAATTATTACAGCATTGGGACCTCCATATGCTCTTAAAAAAATCCTATTGTATGTACAAAATTATCCCAATAATGAAATGTCACAAATGACAGCTTATATGTATGTCTTTGGTTTATTTTTGGGAGTCGTTATACCTTCTTTTTGTTTTCAACAAGCTTTAATTATTGGAAGACAAATTGGAGTTAAAATACAGGTAATTTAATTATTCATCATTCATTATTATTAAATAATTTTATTATTATTTATTTTTATTATTATTTTATTATTTATTTATTTATTTATTTATTTATTTATTTATTTATTATTATTATTATAGGCAATAATAATTGGTGAAATATATCTTAAATCTTTATCAAGAAAAGATACATCCGGTGTTACTAATGATGAAGAATCCAAGAATAAAACCGGAAAAATTACAAATCTTATGGCAGTGGATACAACCAAAATTTCCGAAATATCAGCATATATTTTTTATAGTAAGAAAATAATTTAAAAAATAATTTAAAAATAATTTCTATTATTAATTCTATTTTTAATTGACAAATAAATAAATAAATACTCATTAATCATAATTTATAATTTTAATTTATGATTATTATAATTCTAGTTTATAGTTTTCCTATACAGATCATTCTTTCAATCATATTTTTATATGATTTACTTGGAATTTCCGCACTTGCTGGAGTATTAACAATCATTATAACTTATCCTCTACCCGCTTTGATTAATCAACGTTTTGCAACTATTCAGAAACGACTTATGGAAGCAACTGATAAACGTATGAGTGTAATGAATGAGGTTATTATTATCATTATTTATTTATTTATTTATTTATTTATTTATTTATTAATTTATTTATTTATTATTATTTATATAAATGTTATTATTATAAATATTCTAAATATTATTTTTATTTATTATTTTATTATTTTATTATTTTATTATTTTATTATTTTATTATTTATTTATTATAGTTACTTCAAGCCATTCGAATCATAAAATTCTTTGCATGGGAAAATCAATTTCGGACTAAAGTAAATACTGCAAGAGAGAATGAATTAAAAGAACTTAAAAATCGATTAATGCAATGGGTTTATATGGGAAATCTTTGGATGATGTTACCACTTCTTATAATGTTATCGGTTTTTATAACCTACACTAAAATATTGGGACACGTAAGTTATTATTATTATTATTATTATTATTCATTTTATAATTAATAATTTTTATTCGATTATTAATAATATTTATTTATTTATTTATTTATTTTATTTTTATATAGGAATTGACAGCAACAATTGCTTTCACATCTCTCGCTTTATTTAATAATCTTCGACATGCTCTTGATGAAATTCCTGCTACAGTTATTGCCTTTATCCAAGGTGATGATTACTAATAATATTATTATTTCACGTTATTCTTCTTCTTTAATATTATTCTTCTATACGTTATTCATTCATAATATTCTTCTTTATGTTATTATTATTATTATTATTATTATTATTAGCTCGTGTTTCACTTACAAGGATCGAAAAATTTTTCAAAGAATCCGAAATCAAACGATTAGATACTCGACCATCAAGTATTAATGATCCAGATATAGGATTTGTAGATGCAACATTTCAATGGCCAGATGGAAATGATTCAACAGAAGATTTATCTTCTCTCTCTTCTTCTTCCACCGATTCTTCTGCCACTGCTACTGATAATATTATAACAAATCCTTTAAATAAATTCACATTAAAAAATATCAATACCGCATTTCCAATTGGAGAATTATCATTAATTTGTGGACCAACGGGTTGTGGTAAAACAAGTTTATTAATGGCTTTATTAGGTGAAATGGAATGTGTAAGTGGTCGAACCTTTTTACCTAGGAATAATAATTTTGAATTTTTAAAAAATTTGGGAGGTGCTCCTAGTGGAATTGCTTATGTTGCTCAAACTGGTATTTCTATTTTTTATATATAAATATATCTATATCTATCTTTTATATTTTATTTTAATCATCATTTATATTCATATTCATCATCATTTATATTCATCATTTATATTTTATTTTATTTTATATTTTATATTAAAACAACAATAATAATGATAGCATGGATACAAAATGCAACAATTCGAGATAATATACTTTTCGGTCTTCCATATAAGGAAGAAAAGCTTAATAAAGTTATACAAGCATGTGACCTTACCAGGGATTTGGAAATATTCGAATTTGGTGATAAAACTGAAGTTGGAGAAAAAGGGATCACACTTTCTGGTGGTCAGAAACAACGTATAGCTTTAGCTAGAGCTGTTTATTCTCAAGCTAATGTTATTATTATGGATGATTGTTTATCTGGTAATTTATATTAATCATTATATTAATCATTATATTAATCATTATATTAATCATTATATTAATCATTATATTAATCATTATATTAATCATTATTTATCATTATATTAATTATATATTTATATATATTAGCCGTCGATTCACATACTGCAAAACATATTTTTGAACAATGTTTGATGGGTGATTTGATGAAAAATAGGACTCGCATCTTAGTTACTCATCATGTAGGACTTTGTTTACGTGGGGCATCTAAAGTTGTAGTCATGCGGGATGGTCAAATAATTGGTGAAGGTTCAGCTGATAAAGTTTTAAATGAAGGTTTATTGGGTGATATTAAATTAGAAGAAGAAGAAGAAAATGTTAAAGATGAAAAGAAACTTATAGATGGTGATGATGTAATTGATGTTAAGAAAAAAGTGTGTAATCAGAATGATGGAAAATTAATACTTGATGAAACTAAAGCCGAAGGAACTGTTGAATGGAAAGTTTATAAAACTTACTTAATAGCTTCGGGTGGATTTATATTTTGGATTGTGTTGATTATAATGTTTATCCTTAATGAAGCATTTCAAGTCGGTTCAGGTATTATTATTATTATTTATTCATTATTTTTTATTAATTATTATTATTATTATTTTGTAATTTTATTTTTTATTATTTTATTTTCAGATTGGTGGATACGTGAATGGACTAAAGCATATTCTGATGTTGATATTGTTGGTCAAATTTATGAATTAATTTCTTCCAATATTTATTCTTTTGCGATGTCTTCTTCTTCTTCTTCCTCCTCCTCCTCTTCTTCTTCTTATTCTTTCTCAACTTCTTCTTATTCTTCTCCTTATTCTTCTTATCATTTTACATCAGACAATAATAATAATAATAATATCGTATTATTAAATAATAATATTAGTATTAATTATTTGAATAATAATGATGATGAAAAACAATCTGTCGATGTAAATTATTATCTTGGAATATATATTTTGATTGGTGTATTATCTTCATTTTTAGCATCATTTAAAGCGTATTATATGTTTATGGGTTCTTTGGCTGCCTCTAAAAGTTTGCATACCGCTATTTTAGAGAAAATTCTTTCGGCCAAAATTAGATTCTTTGATACAACCCCCATAGGTATTAATTTTGTTATCTCGTGTGAACGTGTGATCGTGTGATATTTTTTTGGTGATTTATTGATCTCACCTCTTATTTTATATCATATTTTTTTTTTTTTTTTTTTTTAATTTTATATATTAATTTATATTTTTTATTATAATAATTATTATTTTTTTTTTATTTATTATTTTTTTTTTTATTTATTATTTTTTTTTTTTGTAGGGAGAATTATGAATCGATTTTCAAAAGATATGGAAACGATCGATCAAAATTTATCACCAGTGGCAATGTTCCTACTTTATTCATGTATCGCTACTGCTTCCGTGATATTTGTCATTTCCGGTGTAATGCCAAGTTTTTTAATAGCCGGAGTTTTCATTGCCGCTTTATATGTCGCAATTGGTGCTTATTATATTGCCACTTCTCGTGATTTGAAACGTAAGAAATTGATTTTATTATTGAATATTTATGATTTACTATATGAAGTATATTTATATATTAATTTTAATTTATTATTATTATTATTATTATTATCATCTTAGGGTTGGAATCTATTAGTAGATCACCTATATATGCTGTATTTGGAGAGGTAAATTTTAAATTAATTAGTTTAAAATTAATTTAACAAATTAAATTTAATAATTAATTAATTTCATTCATTTTTTCTTTCTTCAACAATTAATTTAATTAACAAGACAATCATCGGAGTATCAACAATTCGAGCATTTGGGGCCGAAAAAAGGTTAATGACTAAAATGTTAAATTTAGTGAATGGTAATAGTCAACCATTCATTTTCAATTGGGCATGTAATCGTTGGTTACATATTCGAGTTGATGTGGCAGGTGGACTTGTAAGTTTGGCTACTGGTATTATCGTTTTATATAGTCTTAAAACTGGAATGGATCCGGGTTTGGCTGGTTTCGCTCTTACCTATGCTATAAATTTCACTGCGCATGTTATTTGGGTACTTCGAATGTATGCTGTACAAGAAATGAATATGAATTCAGGTTTTTATTATTTTATCATTATTATTAATTATTTTATTAATATAATATTATTATTGATTTATCATCATCATCATTATTATTATTATTATTATTATTATTATTATTATTATTATTATTATTTTATTATAATCAATTTATTATTTTTTTCGTTTTATTAGTTGAAAGAGTTCAAGAATATTTAGCATTAGAAGAGGAACCACCAAGAATTATTGATTATAATAGACCACCCCCTAATTGGCCACCAAAAGGAGAAATTCATGTGAAGGATCTTGTAATGCAATATGCTCCCGATAATCCCCCTGTATTAAAAAATATTTCATTTCATATTCGTCCTGCTGAAAAAGTTGGAATTGTTGGAAGAACTGGTAATTTTATTTTATTTTTTTTTTGAATTTAATTTTTAATCTAATATTTAACAATTAATTAATTATTTATTTATTTATTTATTTAAATTATTTGTTTATTTATTTTATTTATTAAAATTAGGATCTGGAAAATCTACATTAGCCATATCATTCTTTAGATTTATGGAACCAATTTCTGGTCAAATTATTATTGATGATGTAGATATTTCTACAATTGGTCTCTTCGATTTAAGAAGTAGACTTACTATAATACCTCAAGATCCTGTTCTTTTCACTGGAACTTTAAGGTAAATATGTTTTTAATAAATGTAATATAATCAATTTTAATGATTTTGATAATTTTGATAAATTTTAATAAAATATTTTTTTTTTAGGAGTAATTTAGATTCATTTGGAGAATATGATGACGAAGAATTATGGAATGCTTTAAGAAGAGCTCACTTGATCGAAGGAGATTCTTTATTATTAAATCAAGAAGTTAAAGAATCCAATTCAGATTTTGATAATAATAATTCCAACAAGGATAATAAGGATGATAATAATAATAATGAGAATTCCAATAATAGTGATAGCAATAGTAATAAGAGTAGTACCAATAACGATTCATCCAATCAAATAAATTGGAGTTTAGATTCAATGGTTAGTGAGAATGGTAATAATTTTTCTCAAGGTCAAAGGCAATTAATTGCTCTGGCCAGAGCATTGGTCCGAAAATCGAAATTAATTATAATGGATGAAGCTACGGCAAGTGTAGATTTTAAGACGGATCGAATGATTCAAGAAACCATTCGTCAAGAATTTAGTGATGCCACTTTATTATGTATTGCTCATCGTTTAAGAACTGTCGTGGATTATGATAAGATTTTAGTATTAGGTATTTTTTTTTTATTATATTATATTATTACTATTTTTAATAATAATAATATTATTATTTATCATTAATTAATTTTATAATTATTATTTATTAATTATAGATTCAGGGAAAATAGTTGAATATGATCATCCATATGTACTCTTGCAAAAAGAAGATTCAGTCTTTAGAGGAATGTGTGATCGTAGTGGTGAATTTGCAGAGTTATTGGAAATTTCTTCAAAAAAATATCAGAATGATAAAAAATAATATATTTTTTTTTTCACAATCTTATATCAATTTTATCATTGCTTTTTTATCATTTTTTTTTTTCAATTATTCATAAATAGATCGATTTGTTAGACTGATTGTAATAAATAGATTTACAAACAAAAATTTTTTCTTTTTGTGAAATCACAAAGATCAATGTTAAGATTAATTGTTAAGTAAATAAAGTATATGTATATCGATCAAAGTATCTAATTCCGTATGTTTATTGTTTGTCCCATGTGTGCACCCGCCATAATAATTTATTAAATTACTAAACTTATGTAACCGTATTTTGTTGACCAAAGTACCCCGAATTATTTCAGACCCGAATATTTTACATATTAAATATATTGCCCAACCCCAAAGAATTATTCAGATCCGGATATTTTTACACGATATGAAATACATTGTCCTAATTTAATTTATATTACTAATTTACAATAATACAGTATATATTGTTGAAAATATACAAAATTAATAAATGAAATTATCATCTAGATAAAAGATAAGGTATCAAAAGTTATCACAAAAAATATGAAAAAGTAATAAACATAAAAATGTAAAAATTAAGTTTTTAGTATTTTCTTCATTTTTTTCAAGAACCGAATTTTCAATATCATAACTATTTATAAAAATTGTAAATTAATTAATTTAAAATTAATAAATATTTATTTATAAATATTATATGATTTCTTACTTGTTATCCATAATATCAAAATCATCGTCTGAGAATTGGTCTATAGAAATAATGTTCTAATGTTATTACTATAATATAATAATAATATAGTAATAATTTAAAATTAAAGTTATCATATTAAATACCTGATAATCCAAGATCGGAATTTTGATCTATAGAAATAATGTATAAACGTAATGAATTTTTAATTTTTAAAAAAAAAAAAATTATTGCAAATATTATTATTGTTAAATACCTGATATTGATGAATTAAATATAGATATAGATTCTAACATAGAGTCTAATGATCTACTAAAATATTTGGACTCTGGATGTTCGTATCCTGGCTTATTGACAAATGGCTTTTTGGATTTGATCATTTCAAGTCTTTTTTTTTCCGCATTTTGAAATTCTAACCAAATATTGTCTAGATAATGTTTTTTGATATTATCTTTTGAATGATCACAATAATATTTAAATTTCTTTGTTAATTCATAAATCTCATCTATTGTTGGTCGTTTAGAAGGATTAGGGTTCCAACATTTTTTCATTAAATTTGCCCAACATTCTGGTGTATCTTTAGTGATTTCAGGTCGCTTTCCATCTAAAATATCTAATATAAGTTTTGGTCCATGTTCTTCATCATGAAATGGTTTATGTCCCGTTGTTAATTCCCACATAACCATTCCTAAACTGTAGATGTCTGATGTAAATGTATATGTTTCACCCTTAAAAATTTCTGGCGCCATATATGGAATTACTCCATACATTTGAGGTTTCTTTGAATTAACAGTTACTCGTTGACTAAATCCTAAATCAGAAATAACAGCTTCAAAATTATTCGTGATAATAAGAATATTGCCACTATGTAAATCACAATGTATGATTTTATTATCGTGAAGTAATTTAATTCCAATAATAATATCCCAAAATAAATCAATCTTTCTTTTCCACGTAACTTTCTTTTCAAAATTTTTGCGTAAAAAATGATGTAAATCTCCATTTGACGCATAATCTAAAATAAATGCATAGTTCTTGGTTTTCGGGTCTTGGCTCGCTCCGTAACATTTTATTACAAATTTGGACTTCAACTCATAGGTAAGTTTTAACTATATTTTAAAAACATTAAAATAAAACTATAGTTAATTTTAATAAAATGAAAATTTAATTAAATGTTAATAAGCACGAAAGGATTAATTACCTCATTTAAGAATTTCGTATCCGCTTTTTTGGAGTTGTTCAAAACTTTTAAAACAATATGCCTTTTCTGATCATTCAAATTCCAAGTTGCCTTAAAAATTTTGCTAAATCCGCCTTCTGCAATATATTCAATATCTAAAAAATCATTATACGGAACCCATTCTAAATATAGACACGGTTCTAATTTAGATTTTATTTTATAATGTTCTTTGAGGTATAATTTTAAACCAGATTCCTGTGTGGCTGTGATAAAACTATCGATGTCTTTATTGCCACTCGTGTAACATTGTTGACAATTTTTACTATTATCAATATATTTTACTTCGTCACAATTGTGGCAGGTGTGATAATCGGTCACAAACATAGTCAAAAAAAAAATGTAATGATGCAAAATTTCAAATGTTTAGAAAATTGTATTCCAGTATTTATAGGAATTAAGGGAATCGTTCGTGTTACTCACCACTAACAATAAAAGTTCATAGAATTACATACTATACGTTGAAGACCCAATACGATAAGCTATACTAAAATAAAACTGGTTGTTGTCTTCTAAGCATTTGACTAAATTGAAAATTTCATCCCCGAAGGTTTTGAACCAGCCTAATGACTCTCAAGTCAAGCTGAGACAGTAGCCAACTTATTGGAAACTCTCAATCTGTTCCAATTGTACTACGAATATTACCTGACACTAATATTTTCCTACCTTCCTTTGCTCTTCCCTGTAGCGTCAATGGTCACAATTCCGCTAAGAACGGCACCAAGGCCACCAAATACTTTTGTTATATATCGAAGAAACAAGAAACACCAAGGCCACCAAATGCTTTTATTTTATACCGCCGTTTAAAAAACAAGAAACACAAGACCACCAAATGCTTTTATTTTATTAATGTTTTTATTTTATACCGCCGTTTAAAACAACCATCAATCGTTGCTTTTCACCAAGTATCAAAGGAAATCGGCAAGATGTGAGCGTAATAAATTCCAGAAGATGGGAGAAGCCTTCAAAGAAGACTAAATTTTAATTTTCTGAAGGATTTGAACCAGTATTTGTTCTAAATGACTCTCAAGCCGAGACAGTAGCCAACTTATTAGAACTCTCAACGGTTCTAAGTGTACTAAGAATGTACCTTTTCCTCCTAGACCACCAAATGCTTTTATTCAACCGATGGAAGGAGGGGGAGACTATTGTCAAATTTTTAGAAAAATCCGCAGTAAAACAATATCGAAACTGATTAATGAAACATATCCAGAATATCGATAGCGTAATAAATTCCAGAAGATGGCAGAAAGCCTTCAAAGAAGACTAAATTTCAATCCCTGAAGGATTTATACCTGTATTTGTTCCGAATGACTCTCAAGCTGAGACAGTAGCCAACTTGTTAGAACCCTCGACCAGTCTCAACGGTCTAAATGTATTACGAATGTTACCTGATTCCAAATGCTTTTATTCAACCGATGGAAGAATGGGGGGGGAACTATTGTCAAATTTTTAGAAAAATCCGCAGTAAAACTGATTAATGAAACATACCCAGAATATCGATAGCGTAATAAATTCCAGAAGATGGCAGAAGCCTTCAAAGAAGACTAAATTTCAATCCCTGAAGGATTTATACCTGTATTTGTTCCAAATGACTCTCAAGCTGAGACAGTAGCCAACTTATTAGAACCCTCGACCAGTCTCAACGGTTCTAAATGTATTACGAATGTTACCTGATTCCAAATGCTTTTATTCAACCAATGGAAGAATGGGGGGGGACTATTGTCAAATTTTTAGAAAAATCCGCAGTAAAACAATATCGAAACTGATTAATGAAACATACCCAGAATATCGATACAGATCTCGTCGACCTCAAGAGAGAAAACGAAGTGGTCAAGCTACTGCGAAAAAACAAACCGCTCAGCAGAAACAACAATCACAACAACTTCGAACATCTCTAACGCCTTTACAACACCCAAATCCAAAGATTGAAAAGATCACCACACCACAGAATGAAACCAATGAAACTATTACACCACCGAATGCATCTCTACAGCAAATACCTTATACCCAAAGTCTCGAGAACAGTTTACACAATACATTCAATATTGGTGAAGTTAAAGCTGGTTTTACATTTAATGTCGAGTCGATGATATGTTAATTATAATTCGACATCACAGCAATTTCTGATACTCAATTATGGCTTTGGATATGCTCATTCATTAAAAAAAATTTTTAGAAATATTAGAAACCATTAAAAACATTAAAAAAAATAGATATATATTTTTGAGAAAACATTCAAATAAACATTTAATCAAAGAAATTACAAATGATCAATGTTAAGCTTAACTGTACGGGTTAAATAATTTAATTGTTCAAAATAATCCTGTTTCTTTCGATGTAATGTATAAGGCAAAATTTGTAAAAGACCCGGGGTACTATAGAATACGGTATATATATTAATCTAAATAAAAGATAAGGTATCAAAAGTTATATAACAAAAAATGTGTAAAAATTGAGTTTTAGAATTTTCTTCATTTTTTCAATATCAGAACTATTTATAAAAATTGTAAAATCAATAAATAATTATACATATGTAAATATCATATAACATTACTTGTTATCCATAATATCAAAACTAGAACTGATCTATAGAAACAATACATTAATATTATTAATATAATATAATAACTTTAATTATTATTATACTCTATTAAATACCTGATAATTCAAGATAGGAATTTTTGATCTATATAAATAATGTATAAACGTAATGAATTTTTAATTTAAAAAATTATTGCAAATATTATTATTGTTGATGAATTAATAATAGATATAGATTCTAACATAGAGTCTAATATTCTACTAAATGTCTGGTCTGACTCTGGATGTTCGTGTCCTGGATTATTGACAATTGGATTTTATCATTTCAAGTCTTTTTTTCCGCCTTTTGAAATTCTAACCAAATAACATATTTGTCCAGATAATTTTTTCGGTATCATCATAATAATATTTAAAATCTAAAAATAATCGATAAATTTCATCTATTGTTGATCGTTGGGAAGGATCAGAATTCCAACATCTTTTCATTAAAATTTTCCAACATTCGGGTGTATCTTCTGTGATTTCAGGTTCTTTTTCCATCTAAAATATCTAATATAAGTTTTGGGTCCATGTTCTCGATCATGAAAAGGTCTATGTCCTGATGTCAATTGCCACATGATCATTCCTAAACTATAAATATCTGAAACATAAGAATACGGCTCGCCCTTAAAAATTCTGGTGCCATATTTGGAATCACTCCATACATTTGAGGTTGCTTTGAATTTTCTGAATTATTAGTTACTCGTTGACTAAATCCTAAATCTGAAAAAACCATTTCAAAATTATTCGCGATAATAAGAATATTGCCACTATGTAAATCACAAGTAATTTAATTCCAATACTAATATCCCAAAATAAATCAATCTTTCTTTTCCACGTAACTTTCTTTTCAAAATTTTTGCGTAAAAAATGATGTAAATCTCCATTTGACATAATCTAAAATAAATGCATAGTTCTTGGTTTTTGGGTATTGGCTCGCTCCATAGGAAAATTAAAATAAAACTATAATAAAATGAAAATTTAATTAAATTTATTAAGTACGAAATAATTAAAAATACGATCTTCTAAAAATTTAGTGTCTGCCTTCTTGAAGATTTTAAAACAATGTGCCTTTTCTGATCATCCAAGTTGCCTTAAAAATTTTCTATAAAAAAATTATTATATAGTGAGGTGGCACGAATGCCACGGGGAATGCTGTACGAGGATTGCGGAAGGTTACGAAGGTCACAAGGGAGAATAGAAAGATGACAGTAACACCTGGATGAGTGTGCTACCATCGTCATCTTTTTCATCTTCGTGTATCATCTTTTTCATCTTTGTGTGTCATCCTTTTCATCTCTATGTGCCATCCTCGAAGAAAGGGGAAAAACGTGTTTAGACGCGACAACAAAAAAAAAAAGGAAAACAAAATCGGAAAGGTATAAAATAACCAGTGGATAAAGGATAGAAAGGGACAGATTCTTTTGGCAAGCTTCGGGGGTTTAACACTTTTATTTTTATCACTTGACCTCTCTATTACATTTTATTCTTTTATTTTCATATTTTCTTCCTTTTTTTTACAATTATTACAATAATTACAATAATTAAATAACTACAATAATCTTGATCATAGATAAAATTAGTAATAGTCA